ATTTATTTATTATTATGTGAATGTCATATTTTACCAAAAATTATGTAAGAAAATCATATGACCCCTACATAAAAGTATCAATATAAACTAATGAACTTCTTATGCAATGGTAGTGCCCCTTTAGTACATACCAAGAGGTGATTAAGTTAGGTTCTCATCTTCCTGTGATAATTAAATAAATCCTTGATTAGTCAAAACGGTATTAAGCTCGATTTCTCCTTCCTTCTAGCTAATATTAACAATTAACCACTAATGTATATATTTAGTTGTCAAAAAAAAAAAAAAGTCTATGGGTTTGGATTTTTTCAAAACCCTATATTGAATAATTAACTACCTAGGCTTTTATTAACTTCTTGCTAATTAAAACAAAACCCTCCTTCCAATAATTATGTTTAAAATATTTTCAATTAAGTTCAAGAATGCTTTTTTTTTTTTTTAATCTAGAAAAAAGGTTTTAAAATAAACAAATAAAAGCCAATAGAAAATATATCAAACAAAAGAATAATTATATTAATGAGGTATGGAGAAAAGCAGTAACTTTGGAAGAAAACGAACAATTACGTCCTACAAGGAAGCTCAAGGACTTAGATGTTCTTACTAATTAATTAATTAGTATCTCTTCATAACGTGGGTATTAAAAATTCTTAATCACAAATAGATGCAACAAATAATGTATAGTGCTATGTAAGTAAAATAATTTATTTAATCCTATGTAAGCTCTTGAATGAGTTGGGATTAATGAAGTCATTATGAATAAATAAATCATATTTCTATCAATGAAGTTGACCTGGGCTGTGTATATATATGTGGGAGGATAGAGGTCCTAACTCCCATAGTGAGTTAACAAAGGACGAGAGAGAGAGATAGAGATGAGGAACAACGAAGTACGTCTGAATTGTGGCATTAACATTCCAGTCCTTGGACTGGGCACTTATTCCTACCCCAATGATAGGCAGACAACAGAACTGGCCATCCATATGGCACTTAAGGTACATTTCCTACACAAAAACATATATATATATATATATATATTTTTTTTTCTTTTTAAGCCTTTTGTTTTCTGGCTCTTCCTACCTTTTCCTTTCAAGTGCAGTGCATCTCTAATAAACACTGGAGTACTAGATATTGGACTAAATACTGCATGGCTAAACCAACTTGATTAAAGCATCTGGGCTTCAATGACTGAATTACCTCTTCATGCATATGCCTACACATTTGGGTTTTCAGTAATTAGCCTAATGCACATTTTGCATGCATATAAAATCCTTTTCAATCCATGTAAACATGACCTAAGAGTTTTTACCATTGGCTGCCTTTTTTTTTTTTTTTTTTTGCATGAAATGTAAAAACTTATTGGTTTTTGGCATTGCAGATGGGTTACAGGCATTTTGACACAGCAAAGATTTATGGTTCTGAGCCAGCAGTGGGACATGCTTTAACAGAAGCGATTCTTGATCAAACAGTAGACAGGGAAGAAGTTTTTCTTACATCTAAACTGTGGGGGAGTGATCATCACGATCCTGTTTCAGGACTCAGGCAAACTCTGAAGTAAGCATGAGTACATAGCCACCCTTGAAAGTTGGTTCCATGCATTAGGTTCCCAGCTCCACTCGATTAGTGCCCTATGGTACTCAAAACAAGAAAACTTCCTTTAAATTTTCTATGAAAAATTGAGTTCATTGATCAGTGTTTACTCAAATCTAACTTTAGACGTTGCATGTGGGTGGTGGCACTTTTGGGGCTAATCTATATATGTTTTACCAAGATCTTATCGAATCTTTCATTAAATATAGATCTAGCCAGTGTATGTAGAATAAGATCATAGCCTCTAAGATTGTGACCCTAGGGAATCGATGAGGATCTTGAAAAATATTCCACTATGATCTTTCTGGGTTTTCAAGTATTTAAGTGCCTTTTACTTTTCTGGTTATAGGATTTTGGGCATGGAATATCTGGACATGTATTTAGTGCATTGGCCAGTGAAGCTGAAGCCTTGGAATCTATCTTCTGTGCCTCCTGAAGATGACTTTGAGCCGTTAGACCTCGAGTCCACATGGGCCGGCATGGAAAAATGTTTGGACTTGGGATTGTGTAGGTGCATTGGCGTCAGCAATTTCTCTAGCAAGAAGATCCAAAGCTTATTGGATTTTGCTTCAGTACCTCCAGCTGTGAATCAGGTACTCCATTAAAAAAGGCAACAAAACAGCCTGTCTTAGAGGGTTTCTGAGATTTTTTAAGCAAACTTATTGGCGGAATTTTGATGTTAGAAGAAACTAATTATGTTAATTATTCAAAGGACAAATAATTTACAATCAATAGAAGAGACAATGGCAGGACTTTTTTTTCCCCCTCGAGAAAGACAGGGGTTGGGGACCTATAAAACCAAGAAAGAACATCACAAATCCATTTAAAATTTGTTTCGGTCAGGTTTGTGAGTTAGGTTGATTAAAGTCAATCGTTTAAACTACTTTTTAGATCAGCATGTCAATCGAGGTCTCCCCGCCATGTTTTAGAAAAATATTAAATAAATTTGATCCATCTCATATTTTATATTACAAACAAATATTATGTGTCATTTTTAGCTTAAAGTTTACAAAACTCATGTACAATTAATAAAAAACCAATCCGAGGATAGTTGACCGCAAGAAGTCATATAATTAAACATGCATACTCTCCAAATGAGATGAACCCTCTCTTCTCATGTTTGACCTATAATGCCATATAATATCTGTGTTTTCTTTCTTTAATTTCATAGGTTTTGGAAACCAGAAATTCGAAATTAGCACTCTTTCTTTGAAAAAAAATATATTTGAATTTTGTTTTAGTGTTTGAAAAGTGATTTTAATTTATATACTTTTTACCCCCAAAAAAAAAAAAAAAAATAGTAAAAGGAAAAGAAGAAGAAAAGAAGTATGTCCGCTAATTGCAATAGTAGTTTCCAAGTAGCCATTTTACAGGGACTTTTTATTTTACATATAAATAACATTCATTAGCTACAATAATAATTGATAAACAGTACTCCTACATGTATTTATCAATATTGAATTATGAATTGTATGGTGCAGGTGGAAATGCATCCAATGTGGAGGCAAAGGAAACTAAGAGAATTTTGTGCTGACCACAAGATCCATGTAAGTGCTTATTCACCACTTGGTGGGCCTGGAAATGCATGGGGAACAACGGCCGTGGTTGAAAACCCAATTGTACGATCCATTGCTCGCAAACACAAGACAACCCCAGCTCAGGTAAAGCCCACAAATTCATCCTAACAAACGAATTAGTAAGTTCTAACCCATTATGGGCCTTTGATAGCAAACTTTTTCTAATGAATTTTTGAAGGTTGCTTTGCAATGGGGATTGTCAAAGGGATCGAGCTTGATCGTGAAGAGTTTTAATCAGAAGAGGTTGAAGGAAAACATGGAGGCCGTGAGTGTCAAATTGGATGATCAAGATCTCATTGACATTGAGAAATTGCAGGAATGGAAGATCATGAGAGGAGAATTTCTTGTTAATGACACGACAAGTCCTTATAAGACAATTGAAGATCTGTGGGACAGTGAAATTTGACACAACACCCTCACAATGCTTATGTTCTCTACCCTTGTGATTATTATTATATATACTAGCATGCCATATTAGGCACCGCCACACACGGCCATTCTGCTTAATATGGTGGTAGCACATAGTTAATGTAATCTGTGCGATGCGGAAACAATGAAATATGATAATTTCAGTTACTAGTAATGTAAACTTAGCTGAAAGAGAATTGCATTCTTATTCACCCAAGTTACATATTCACCATGCATCATTATTCTCTTTTAAGGGTTTAATGACAAATTTTTATCCTATTATGATCCGACAATTTCGGATCTATAGTACTAAATCGTATTCACATTATCCAATTTTCGTTACGTATAAAAGTCAACCAGATTGATCGTTATTTGAAATGTCAAAACAATAATGTTTTGACATTCCACTATTAATTATATTTAAAATATATATTTTTAACCTCTTCATCTTGAAAAAAATTTTTCCTAATAAAATATTATAAATATTTTATAAATTATATAAAAAAATATTTTTAACCCCCTAATTTTGAAAAATTTTTAAACTTTTTTTATAAAATATTATAAAAATTTTATAATTTTTTTTTATAATTTATAAAATTAAGGGGTCAACCCTTAATTATGATCATTTTAATTTATAAAATGTTTTTTTAAAACCTAAAATTGTGTATTGTTAATTATGTTTTTTTACAATAATATTTTGTAAAAAAGTTTAAAATTAGGGGGTTAAAAATATTTATGAATTTTTTTTAATATAATTTATAAAATATTTATAATATTTTATAAGAAAAAAGTTAAAAAAAAATTCAAAATTAGGGGATTAAAAATAAAAAATTATAATTAACAGCGATTTCGTTTGATCGTTATAAATGATGAAATTAAATAATTTGGATTATATTTGTATAATTTTTAATACTTTAAGATTTAAATTATGCAATTTAGTACTATGAATCTGAAACTATATATTAAATCACAATCCAATGAGCAACATTTGCAATTAAACCCTCTTTTAAAGTATAGAAAATCTGTTTACTGCACATATAGCATCTAGAGCAATGACCATAGGACCATTAGATTTGAATCTAGAGGGTGCTTTTGCTATCTTATTCAAATCTGATGATTCCGGTGCCAGTATTTTAGACTTGGCCCACTAACGGACTTGAGGAACCAGGTTCTAATGCAAACTTGGGGTTGAAATCAATGTATTGACCAGAAGTACGAAGAACAACGACAAAGGTCATCTCCAAAATCGTGGACATTTTAGACATACCTTGAACCACAGTGCCCTTATGCCGTTATGCGTGTACATCGGATACTTTCTTTTTACATTTACATTTACAGTTGCATTTGCAGAAACTAATCGAGTATCAGTGCTAACATATAATGCATTGCCCAGATGGCTACGTTGAAAGTGACGAAAGAGGCAAGTCACAGTTATCTAACAAACCAGATGAAGAATGCTGACCAAACAGTTAGCGAAACTGTGGCCAAGGCGTTGGTCCATAGCATGATCACAGAGCATTCGGTTTGGCCAACTTCAAACAACTGGCTCATCGTACCTGCCAAACGTGCATAGACATGATTGAGCTTTGTGGGATCTTGTAATAAGGATGGTGTATAATTCACCAATGACAATTAACAGACCTACGCTGATTGCTGGAGGAAGTGCAAATTGAAGCAGAAGAACAAACTGATATAACGGATCTGAGTGCACCAACCCAAAATGGACTGCATATTTAATGATAACAACTCCCAAAGTCGGCAAAATAATATTCCGGATGGCCACTATACCAAGAAGCACCAAGAGTGGCATCTTCGACCCTTTCAAACCTGACAACACCGATAGCAATCATTATTCCATGCTTCAACAATTAAGCTAGTGAATGAAGGCAGGCCAGTTGGAATAGATTACCCTTCAGAAGATTTGCTCCCACAATCAAAGTCATAATTGGAACCGCTGCCTGCCTGCAAACATGAAAGGAATACGAGGGAAACTTGTTAGGTAGCCGAAAATGAAAGTGAGATTTTTGTTAATTTTCTATGGAATTTTCATACCATCAAAGACTGGATGGTGGATACTGACCCGATCATGTATGCAGAGTCTTCAACCGCATGTAGAGGGGCTATCACCGACTAGTACTTTTTTGAATGGAGGGATGATACCAATTATCAATCCCACAATCTGTAAAAATAGAACAGCAAAGGGGCGGTCAAATGTTAATCCTCACATCAACATTGGAACATAAAGTGGCATGTTCGTTATGTTTTAATCTACAAAATGTTAAATATTTTAACGTGGCCAGGAAACTAAAGAGGGGGAAAAAAAAAACTACTAAAATCTACAAACTGCTTGCTAATGCCAGTTTCATGGCAATGTTGGAGAGCAGATTTCTCATGTAAGCTGGGATGCCACAACCCCAAAATGATCAAATCGTCTTTATCTTTAAGGGATTTGATCCTATATGTATAATAACTTCCCAAAATAAGAATTTGCTGCAAGCATACCGCTCCAATAATTGAAGGTGCAAGCAATCTCCGTAGGCTGGGTTTCTTTATAACCTTCAGAAAGCTTCTCTTAATGTTTTCTGGAAATGGCACCTGTCAAGAAACATTGATAGGCTAGATGATGATTACTCTCAGACACATTTTATTCAAGGAGCAATAAGAAGAAGACAAAAAATGCCACGGATGATAAGATCATGAGAAAACTTCAAAGCAAAACTGTGGTCATAATGAACATCAGCAATATATGGAAAGAGACAAGTGAGTGCAGAAAGAAAGAAGGTATAGTATTGAGGTTCTAACAACCTTGGCCTTTTCCTCTGACACTGAAAAATCAAGCTCCAAGGGTTGCATATGACTCTCACCAAGTGAGGGATCTTCTAAAGGAAGCAGGGGCCCTGCGCGACATTTTGAAGATTCATTTGTTTCTCCAGCAGACTCTGCACCCTCCGGCAAGGCATCCGGTTTGGCTTCATCAGAATCTTTACTTGAATATATACGCACAATATTGTACACATATGACCATATGTACAAGGATCCAATCTTGAAATCAAAGAAAAATTAGTAAAGAAGTTTAAACAACAACTAGTTTTGGATGAAAGTCAAGTTAGAAAGCACAATGGTCATACTGCCATAGAGAGTGAAACGTATGCCATTCCACGGCCAGTGCAGACATCGGAATCTCCAAATGGACTGCTTTTTTCTTTACAGACAGCTTGAACAATTATGAGAAGCATGTTGCCCAGATTTCCTGTTAACATCAACACCCATCGTAAACTAGAATGCAAGTATAAAAGATCAAAATATAATGTAAGCACGAGGCATTGGTGATATTGACTCTTTGAGACAAATATACTGCTACTGGAGCCATCATGATTTCGAGTAATAGAACATGATACTTCTAGAGCTGAAAATTTTGGCATGAACTAGCACGATGTAGTCTCTTATATGTTTTTTTTTTTCCTGAATTTGTGTTCTGATCCTCTCTCGAGAAGGCCACGGATAGCAGAAAAAGTGAAATGCGAAATATTGATGGGTGATATACAGGCACATATAACTTGATTAGAGCATCCAAAGTGTTTCATCAGAGCATGAAATTATGAGATGGATAGCAAAATTGGTAGACATTCATTGCTGCTCAATTCATTACCAGGAAAGAGCATGTCAGCCTGTTTTCTAAGGTGGGATGGTCTACGTGTGTTGGAAGGCAAAAAAAGACAGAAAGGAAAGGACAGAGCGGAAAAAAAAATGCAAAAACTTGTTTGTTTGCATTGAGTTAAGGACGATAAGCGAACGAAGTAGATAACTTTCTTTGCACGGGAAAAATATCCGGCAAGAAATCTTAAATAGCAAATACAATTTGTAAGAACAACTTAAATTCGCAAGCAGTAAAGGTGAATATCATCACAACCTGATTAAACTGATTTAACTATTGATACCCAATGGCAATGAATCAACTTATCCAAACCTTCTTTCTTATTTCGCAAAGACTATGGAAAATCAACAAAGATTTTGTGCAAAATATAAGGACAATCAAAATCTGTAGATATATACACCTTCCACTAGCCAAAATAATAAAACCTACCAGCAGCACAACATCCCATGATCACGCCCCGAAGTCCTTTAGGAGCTTTGGTAATTTTTACAAGTAACCATCCAAGTAGTGAGCCAATGATAAAGGTGATAAGAACATTTATTGGCATGAACCACCTACATAATTCAACCAACGTTGGATTTAAGAAACTAGCAGGAAAAAAAAAGAAAAAAGAAGAAGAATACCACACCGAAAGCAGCTAGCCCCCAAAAATTTGGCCGGAGGAACTCACAGCTGAAACAAGCTTCTTAATGTTATGAATTTTGCCAAGTTGCTGCCAACAAGTGCTGGACTCAAGACAAAAAACACAAGCTGCACAACAATTGAATTCAAAACTGCACATTATATTCTCACGGAACTTAGAATGTTTTATCAGATTGGTTCGAGCTATATTGTAAGGATAAAAGCAATTAAAAATCATATGCAATTTTTCCCACTTTTGTGCATGAAAAAAATACAAGTTTTACATTCTCAAAATGGATGATGTGTTCACAAAACTTCAGAAAGAATGGATCATTCGACTCAATAATGAACTGTTTCATTTCGAACTGTATTAAAACATGCTATGCCCTGATCAATAAATTGCCTAGTGCACATTGGCTTACATCAAATTTGATCCATCAAATCCATCAAATTAAGTTCTTGTGATTTTGACTAGGTGCATGATTCTCAAGACTTGAATTTATACATGTATAAATTTATGAAAATGGAGTTTGTAAATTTTATTTTCTGTTCTAAATCATCAACATGCTAACATATTGCTACTACTGACATTATTCAAATGCTTTCGAGCATCCGCCCCCAAAACATCCACACGCTTGATCGCAAGAAATACTCCGACGGCAGTAATCAGGAGTACATTCAAAACTGGCATTAGCGCAACAATAAACAGATTCAAGAGCCCCATAGCAACCTAAGAATGTCTCAGACTCAATATTACCACACCTGCTGCAAAAGAGGTAAGAGAACAATAAGAGTCTTTAATTCTTGAACAAGAATACAACTGATTCTAAATTTACACCTACAATAATAAAGATGGTTCTCATAAATAAAATTTCTTAATTTCCACAAAAAATAAAGTTCCATAAATTTAACTACTGATTGCATGTGGTGTGCGTGTAAATTGCTTTAAATAAATAAACTCACTGAGGATGCTTTAGAATTGCCAGAGGGCACAAACTAATGTATGCAATGCAATCTATCAGAAGCATGCAGTCAAATTAAATTGATTAGAAGGTTAGAACTACAAGGTATTTATAAAGGAAAAAAATGGACCTTAATAAACAGGAACTAATAAAATAAAAACAAAAAGGAGTGAGCTTGTTTCCACAAAACTTCACTGCCATCATCAGAATAAAACTAAAATAGAGCAGACAAGCATTAAGTCATACCATTGCACTAAAAAAGATCGAAGTGAAAAAAGAAAAAAAGTAGACTAAGAACTTAACAAAGTTGGTAGCCCATCACTGTAAAGTCCGCTCATATCAAGCACACACGTATTGCAATGGGAGATATACATGCATGCTTCCCTCCACTACCATTTCACACGCAAGAAACGCACAAGAAAAGGAGAGAATGAGACAGCTTAAATGCTTTTGAGCGTGAGTCACCTAGCTAGGAAAAAATTTAAAGCAGAAAGAAATGATTAAACAAAGAAATAAAGATGACCCAAATTAATAAGAAAAAAGCAAAGCAATAGTGATAAAGAAAGAGTACTTAGGAGTCTTGAAATGTTATTATCAGAAAGTAGAATTGTCTTTCTTGCCGTTTTCAACCCTCAAAATGAGGACAATACAGTGGATGCAGTTTAACACTTATAACCACCCAAGAGAGACATGCTGAGGACAAATGCACTCTTTAATTAAGGCTTCAGCAAAGTAAATAACAATACTACCAATTCTTTCGCTTGGTAGGATACCGCATGGACTTTTGGAGATTGGCTTCTGGCACGTAGATCTTCCATAACTTAAAAAGACTGAAACTATGGGATTCCTCGTACTGTTACGTACTGTGTGCAAATGGGCTTTTGGTTACACACTAGTTTACATGGGCTTGGAATTTGATAGAAGGTCTTTTTATCAGTTCACTTCATTTTTTGGTAAAAAAACGGTTTTCTTGTCCAGCAGGCACATGCTTGTTGAATTTAATCATGGTGACTAATTAATTGCTATTGTGAATGCTTTGGAAGTAAACTTCTGCTGTTTTCATTTCTCGACTTCAATCATAGTTTTTGAGCAATTAGAGATATCAACATTTTTCTTGCATATAAAATCATGTTTTATCGATCCATGAAAATACCTAAAATTAGTTTTTACTTGATACCATATTTTTTCTTCAAAAGTCAACTATATTTCTGTGGCATTGCATATGGGCTACGGGTATTTTGAGATTTTTTACATAGTAAAGATTTATGGTTGTAAGCCAAATGTAGAAACAAAAGCAATTCCGGACCAATCGATTATAGTTTTAAATAGCGATCGCGGTTGAAAAATCAATCATGATCGTGACTTATTGCGATAACAAAATAATGATTGCAATAACCGATATTGTGAATACATAAACAACTCGTTAATAAGTTTATTCTAATTCATATATTTTTAACAGCTTTACTAATTAAGCATAATAATAAGTAATAACATCTCTAATAGTTTAATATCATACAATAATAGTTGAATTTATTACCCAAAAAAAAAAATTAATAACATTTCTAATAGATAGATATCAATAAAATAAAATAAAATAAAATAAAATACATTACAATTTCAATAAACACATTACCAAATATTTATTTTTAAAATAATCGTTGTGGTGAATCATAATAATAGTTATCATTTTGTTGTTGATGTTGTGATTCTTATCCATCAAAATTACAACAATAACTAGTTTTGAAAAGAAAATTAGAAAATAACATAAAATTAATAATAATAATAATTTTTTAAAGTAGTAAAAATCATCTAATATATTTTTTCAAACTAAATGGACTAATTTATAATTTATTCAATTAAAGCAACATTTGCTTTGTAGCATTTGAATTTGGGCATCCAAGATAACCAAAGTAGAATAATAAAAGATTAAATCATTCTAGTTTTGATAAATGAATTAATTAGCTTTTAATGTTTTAAAAACTAATTATTTAATCTTTTAATCATTACCGATCATGTTTCATGTATTGTATTTTATTCTATAAAATATTTTTTCATCAATCTTTTTCATGATATAAATTTATTTTTTTCTTTTTCTATTTTTTTAAATAAAAATAAATTAAAAAATATAAAATGAACAAAATAAATAAATTATTGGTTTTGAAATAGAAGGACTAACTAAATTATTTTTTTAAAATAAGAGGACTAATTTATAACTTATTCAATCAAAACCCGCAAATGCAAGTATTTGATATTAAAGCTTCACGTGGGTTTCTTGCTTTTCAAAATAAAAATGGGGTTTTTTTTTTCATGTTCCTCTTTCTTCTACCTTTGTTATCACCTAAAACTTATTTTCCTTCTGCCTCTCTAGCTCTTATCCTCTCTCGCCTACCTCTCTCCCTTTCCGCCTCTATGCCTCTCATCTTTGCCTCTCTACCTCTCCGCCTCTCGTCTCTTTTTTCATGTTCCTCTTTCTTCTACCTTTGTTATCACCTAAAAATTATTTTCCTTCTACCTCTCTACCTCTTATCCTCTCTCGCCAACCTTTCTCCCTTTCCGCCTCTATGCCTCTCATCTTTGGCTCTCTACCTCTCCGCCTCTCATCACTCGCTTGAATTTCAATAGTTGAAATGGCTGAAATTTTGGCTTTTTTTTTTAATAATGCCGCTATATGATGGTAAATAATGGCGATATATAACGATAACATCGTTATTTTTCATTATCCATGTGAAACGATGTCAAGATACCCATAACGTCTGAATAACAATAATGGGGTGTCCCATTATCGTTATATAACAATCGTTACATTATGTAACAACTATTTTTTAAAGCTATACAAACAAGTAGACAACTAGAGGAGAAGTTTTTGTTACATTATTACATCATAACTAGGGAGGAGTGATCATCATCACCCTTGTGGCTTTACATTAGGCAAATTAAACAAACATATCTAGTTAATGTAATCCATGCAATGTGTGAATGAGAAATTATCGAACTCTTTACCATAAACTTAATTGAAACAAAGATGCTTTTGTATGTTAAACGAGGGAATTGAGAATATAGGCTCGTAAGAAACTATAAAAAATCATTATATCTTTACAATCCAACAACACGGAAGGTAATTTCTAGTAATCACTATTTTAAGAAATACATGTAGGGATGGCAATGGGGCGGGGATCGCCATCCCCATCCCCGCCCCATCCCTAAAAAAAAAAACCATCCCGCCCCGTGCCACATTTGGGCAAAATTTCGCTCCCCATCCCCATCCCAAACAGGATAGCGCGGGGATGGCCATCCGCATCCCCGCCCAAGCCCAAAAAAAAAAACCCGTCCTTGCCCCATGTCCTGTTAGGGTAAAATTTCATGCCCCATCCTTGCCCCAAACGAGGCGGGTTGGGGTGACATCGGGACGGGTTGGATTGCCATCCCTAAATACATGTATAATCAAAATAATTGAAGTTGAAGGAGAACGATTAAAGCCTAGGCAAGGTAAAATCAATCGTGTCGGTCTTCATGGCCTCCGAAGTTGTGCATTCTCATTCTTTGAGTTTTAGGGGTTAGCTTTTATAGAGCATTTACTACAATTGTGTGAATCCCAATACAAACCGGATGTTAATGCAAATTAGGGTTGCCTTCGATACATTAAACTAGAAGCATAGAGGACATTGATGAAGGCCATTTCAAAATCATTAGCAATTTAGATATACCTTGAGAAGCATTGCATAATCCTCATTTATAATAGATATAATGCATTGATCATATGATGCAAGAAAGTTCAAGAGTCGTTCTAGATCCGATTTTTTGGAGTTTGTTTAGGAGTCTTTAAAGTTGAATTGAAGTAGGTTTCTATTGCAATATGAGAAAATATACAAGTAGATTTCTAGGAGTTGTACCGAGAAGATAGCAAAACATAAGGTTCATATCTAGGATTTTTAGAAGTCACGTCTAAAGAAGATTAAGTCATACAATTAAAAGAAAATTATTAAAAATTATTTGATATTATTACATAATGAACATTGAAAGATAACATACTAAATTTATAGAGTTGTTGAAGTCCAAATCTAATTAGGACAAGGATTCCTAAACTTCTAACATAACTATTCCTAATTTAGAATAGAAAAACCTATAGTTATTCATATTTAAGAATAGGAAAACTCAATGACTTTAAGAATAATAAAATAATTAAACAAAAATACTATAATTTCAGATTTTTTAGTAGATCTAAAATTACCATAATGCCTTAATCTGTTACTTAAGTCTCCAACTAAGTTTTCCATCATTAGCTTTGTGCTAAATCAATGCTTAAGCATTAGAACTATTCTTAAGATGTCTTCTAAAGACTTTTGGGGCTCGCTACCAACATCCCTCATCATCTCTCCCCGACCGAAAAGAACTCGACCCCAAGTTAAAGGTATGAAATTAGGCATGCGGATCGAGGTTAAGCTTTTGCAACTCTTCCTCTTAAATCCAAGTAAAATCAAAACGTGATCATCCTTTACACTTGATAAAGAACTTTTAGTAGGCTCCAGTTCTAGAAGAAACCATTTAATTATCAATAATGTCTTTAATCTTGTTTTTGTATTATAGTGTTGGTGAAAATCTAAAAATAGCTAAATCAGCAACTCGGATCCTCATTATGTCCACGATACAAAGTAAGGTCTTCAACATTAGAAGTACTACTTATACCTAAGTCATCGGGTAAGTCTAAGACATAAGCAATTGAGCTAATCTTCTTTATAACCTTGTAAGGTGATGTATAGTATGAGTGAAGCTTCTTAAATATCGTTAACCTATATTCGAAGTGCAATGAAGCAAGCCAACAAGGCAATGTGTCTTTCTTATGGAATTTCTAGGTATGGACTATGCTCGTGAAAATCTATAAATGACGGATAGATCTAATGATTTAGTCTAAAATACACTATAAGTTTTTTTGTGTTTTACCATTTTATTTAGGTTGCTTGGACTAAACGAAGTGGATCTATGAGGCTTGATTTTTTCAAATTGCTTTTCCATTAGTCCGTAGAAATTTATTTATTAATCATTTGTTATTAGATACTTAATCTCCTTTATTCACCTTAATTATCATTTATTATTATTATTTTTCTTATTAATTTAGTGATCACATTTTAGTAGCTAACTAAAAAAAACTAGTGCTAACCATAATTAAGTTATTTTACTAGTACTATTTTTTTCCAAGTTTTGGTTACTTATAACTATGTTTATTTTCTTACAAACAACTTAATGCCATATGATACAAAAATGGCTTATTTACCTATTTACATCACATTACTAACTACTTGTTTATTTTTTCATAGCTTTAACTACTATATAAATAAACTCGTCATACCTAGTACATAAACTATAATACCAATCACTAGCAAAATGATCGCATGAAGGAGGTTCACTTTACTATCGAAGCCACACCCAAAATATTCATGGTGCATGGATCCTTCGGTGACCAACTCAACAAGTGGACATTGCTATTTTTACTTGTAGGGTCTATACCACAAGAAATTAAGTGAACGACAACTCGGTAAGTTAATCTATGCATGATGTGAATATATGCATGTGTAATGCACATGTAAAATCATTTTCATTTTTTCTGAAATCCTTTTCATGCCATAAAATCCTTTATCATGATAATTCTAAAAAGTCTTTTATGTCTTTGGACTTCGGGATTTTCATAATATGTCTAACGAACCGGACCAATCTTTGGACACGCCCTATCAAGGCTTGGTGCACATCTACACCACTCGACCCATGTAAACTATGAACCATGAA